AGACTGGCTAGATTGAAGAATGCCCAGAAAAGTCTCTCGTCTTGACTACGAGGAGTGAGTAGCTACATAAAATATGTGTTATTTCTTCTTGTGTAACAACATCAAGATTTTTTTTTATGTCTTGCTGTATGAAAAATTCTGGTCCTACTGGCTGGTCCTACTGGTGGTCCTACTGGTGGTGGTGGTGGTGGTGGTGCTGCTGCTGCTGCTGCTGCTACTCCTACTACTAGTGCTGCTGCTACTAGTACTTAGTGTGATAATACTACCCTGAACTTCTTATTGTGGAAAGCATTGAAGGGACCTTCAAGTCATTTTTTGAAGTTTTTTCTCTTGGCATCCAGAAAGTCCCCCATTATTGTTGGGYCATTCCTGTCACCATACTGACTGCTTCTTGAAGAACAGTCCAAACCATAATTTATATCTTAAGGTAACATTAGTACCACTTTTGGTCAACTATTTCACTTTGACAAGTATTACCTTTTTGTTCTCAATACAAACATCAATATTATTAATGAAAATAAATAACAAAGTAGCACAAGAAAGGATGTCCCCTACCACCTATGTATGCNCTTGATTCCCACTGTTTGTGCTCCTTAGAGTACTTCCCTTCCTTCCGCGAATCATCTAACACTGCGACTGCGGTCTCAAATCCAAAAGTATCAGTGGGAACAGAGGGTCCAGGATCGTAAAAGGGCCCCAGGAAACCAAACTTCCTCAATGATTGAATTGTCCTTTCGATAGTTGATTTAGTTGCTCGTACGGTACTAGGAGCTCGGCTCCAAAAGGCATCCAGGTTAGCTCTCCTGAGATACTTGAGGAGGAGCTGATCCGAGGAGCTTTGGGTGATTGGGTCTCTTTTCTTAATCCGTCTAAATGCACAAAGATCGCATTGAAATGGAGTAAGGATATGATCCCCCGGCCTCGCATAGTTGTAAGCATTGGGGTCAGGCTTCTTTTGTCTCCATTTCTTATTGGTAGAAGCTTGTGGATGAAGCTCGGGTGGAGGACTGTTGCGGAAGAAGCTGTTGTCGTTATTCAAAGAATAACACTTTGCGCACCAGCTTCCACGGCATCGTGGGAAGCCTCCTACTGACCATGTAAAATTCATGCAGAAGAGAGACTGCACCCACTTGGTTGGTTTTCCACAGCTTAGACAGCTGCCTTCGTAACTGGAACATCTTTGCCGTTCCCCTAAGTATCCAGGGATCACAGTTTAAATAAGGGAAACACAAGCCCAAAATGCAGGGCTCAAACATGTTAGTATTCCAGTAAGGGCAAACCGGAGGAATATCAAGAACAAGATCGCAGCACTTATAGAGTTGCTTTAGCCATAGTGGGGTCATTAATCTTGGGCACAGCAAAATGTGAGTAGAATTGTGCCTCTTTAGTCAAGCCTTACGGAGCTCTTCTAAGGCTACATCGCATGCCGCTGGAGGGGGATACCACATGTAGGTTCCGGCTTTTATTGTGGGTCTCCACATAGAGTCGGCTCCTATATTGCCTCCAATGATATCGTGACCTCGTTGGAACCAATCCATTGGTTCGAGGTAAATAACCTCTTCTCCGGGGGATACGATAGCCTTAATTAAATCTTTCAAGCTAGGCTCCCGTTGCAGGCTTGACATGTGAAAGGGGATGAATGAGCGGAAGGATAAGCCTGCCATGATCCCTTCGTTTAAAGCCCCTCTGGATAGTCCATCCCCTCCTTGTTTAATCATTCGGAAGCCTGACACGTGTGTTATCAAAGCCTTGAACCCATATTTCATCTGCAGAGTACTGAATTCAATAACTAATTCAAGTAGCTTGGGGCTGGAACTAGTTCCTTTGTAGAGGGCCCCTTCCACTGTGGAATTGTCTGTGGCAAATATTACGAAGGCCTCTGAAAGTCTTCCAGCTGTGCCCTCTCACTCGATTGCATCGAGTACATTCCTAAACTCTCTGTAATTTGATGATTTGTTTGATATATCCGTAGACCAAGTACCATGATGGTATGAGATCCCTTCTACTGTCAACCAGTTGTCTCCGAATCCTTCACCGGATGCATCACCAAAACCATAGTTAACTTGGTATATTGTCCGGGCTCTCATGGAGACTTTTGTGAGTTCTGGTTTTTCGAAGAATGATCTCAGTGCTCGTAGATCCAGTATTAGCCGGGGGGTTGGTTTGACTTTGGAAGGATGTCCTCTAACATGTGCCTCAATCATCGCATTGCGTATCTCATCATCCTCGATAGATGCTAGCTTTTCTGTCCATGCCTTCGCATTGAGCTTCCAACCGTCCGAGTCTCTATTGGGTCTCCATGAGTCGATTGTTTGATGTAATCCCTTTAGATGAGCATTCATCACCTTGTAGGTCATGGCTACATGAACCAAAAAGCCTCTGTCCTTTTCTAGTTGTTTGTAATCCAGTTCTGAGTTTGGTGAGCTTGCTATTTCATCCTCGATTCTTTCAATAATGGGTAGGATGCGGTCCCACTTCGCTTGAGTGATTGATTTGAAGATCGAGTTGTTGCTTGCCTCAGTTATTCCGCCGGCCCAGGCTCCGGTTCTGGTCCTTGATGGAGGTCTGAGCTTTCTTGGAGCATGCTGTATTCCCAAGTATTGTAGGTACTTAGCGAGACGCTGGGCCGCTTCCCATACTCTTTCAGATGTAGGTCCAGAGGCTCTTACATCATCTACAAAGGTGACGATAGCCGCTGGTATACACTTAAGAGTGTCGTCCCATTTCATAACCCATGGCAGTCTTGGATCAAACGTTCTGGATCCTGGTAGGTTAAGGATCACTCTATCATATCTAAAGGGGTTAGTTGCTGCCGTTCTGTCTCCTAGCACGAATTCTTCCGCATGATAATAGAACTTAATCGCAAAGAAAGGACTGGGTCTGAATCCCATGAGCAATCGGGCCCAGGCTACTTCCGTCCCGAGGACGGCCTGTTGTTGTGTTTTGGGCAATTTGCTTTTAATCTGTTTCAGAGAAACACCGAGATGAGGTCTGATGATTTCCGGAACAGGGAAGTTGAGGAACATCTCTCCCAGGTCAAGATCCATTACCCAGTATCCGTACGACATTTGCCGGATAGCTGTGTTTGGAGTGGGCAACCAAAAGTTTGGGGCCCAGACCGATTCCTTGAGGCCACAACTTGTTCCATTATAAACGATACGTATATCTAATATTTCTCCCTGGGAGCCAATGCCTTTAGGTACACCAAAGAAGTCGATGTAGCTGATGGCTTTGGCTATAGGGGCGATGTACGTTTTGCTAATTACATCACTGATTTTGGCCCCTATTTGAGTGGCCATTTCCTCCGTAATTCGTCTGTGTTTCACTTGATAGTCCGGGAGCTTACCTCGCTTAATGAATAGATCAAAGCCGTCTCTTGCTGCTTTGATCGTCTCAGCTGTTGGCCATCTCCAGAACAGGAGAGTAGATCCGTTGTCCCATTTCCACCATGTTGATTTTGAATATTGTAAGCAAGCTTCGTAGCCCAGGATTAAGTTACGTGTGAACTCCTGTATGTGCTCGTAGCTCGCAGTAGTGAGGCTACGTGAAGGAAGCTTTCCTCCACGTTGTGTGGGGCTGAGTGCTAGAGATAGGAACTCGACCGGAGCGTGACTCGTGTGTGACTTATCTCTTGGACGCGCGTTGGGCGTTGAGTCCGTAAGGGATTTGGTGTCTGGATAATGTGTATATAGGTGAATGTATGGCCCTTGATCGCTGGGCGACCTCGGAGTGGCGAATGACGTGTGGTTATTTAACAGATGGCTGGCCTGCGTTATGCCAAAATTTGGGGTTTTGGCGGTATCCGTGGACGCTGAGCGTTTCCCCCCCTGTAGCCGTGTAGCGGCCTGTACAAAATGTACTAACGACCGCCGAATAGTTTCGAAGAACCAGGGGAAAGCTTGCTTATTGCACACAGTAGGAGTTAACCAATCCAACCAAAGCTGCTCATGGTAATGAAGCATATAAAGGAAGAAAGATAGAACAACCTTATGACAAGCTCGACGATGGGCTAAGCACCGGATAGGAGGTAAGCAATGTGTAGGCTGATGTAGTACCAAACCTATGCGCCGATCCCATAGGTGTTCTGGGACTTCTGCCGAGTCGATTTTGACCGCTTTGCCTGTGATGAGACTGGAGTCGATCCATCGTGAAGGTAGCCACACCCCTAATGAGCGGATGTAATGTCCTCGTGAATCCTCTGTGTGAGTGGGGAGAGGAGCTAAAGGTGATTCCCCGTAAGAATCGTATCGTGCTGTATTGAGTGTGGTGAGAAGAGCGTCTGATAGAACTAGCCCCCCTTTTAGAGGGTGCAAGCCCTGAACAAAATTGAGTGATGGTCTTTCTTGGATTGCCCATAGAGGTAAATCCCAGGCTAGACACAGCTCTTTGTTTGACAAGCGACGATATCCAATTCCTGTATCCCCGAAGCGTATGGGTATAGCGACGTCTATTGTGGGATTATCGACTGGTAACAAATCTCGCGTTGTTATGTAATTGTTTGGCTGATTCGATAGAGCAATGTAAGTCTTGTGATTGATTATAGAGCCGACATTTCTATGAACGGTGGGTTGGAGTGAAGGACATGGAACTCCTCCAATGTAGAACTTCGACCGAGCTGTGGTGACACCTCCCACTTCCTGATGTGATATCAAGATCGTGGATACATTTGGTCCCAACGGTGGCGGTCGACGAATTTTAGTAAGTACTGCGAAGATCTGGGGACCCTGGTGACTAATCGTTTGCCACACCTTAAGGTCCTGCTCCCCTCCTCCACCGAGGACCATATCTACAGTGGTTTGGGGAACTGAGTTTTCATCGATTTTTGCTAACCGGTCTCCCCATGTTTGTTCAACTTGTTTCATGAAACGATCTGGTAGAGGTCCAACGATAGTGACCGAATACCACTGTTCAGGACGAAGGGTGAGTAACCAAACAAACCCCCCGGACCCTGTGATGAGAGCACTTGCTCTAACCTTATGGGTACAAAGTCCTCCATCTACACATCCGTGCTTAAACACCCTAGGCCCGGTGGCATTGTGAATCGTTTCATCGATCAGTTCTAATCTTTGGGATAGAGGCAATAACTGTTTTTCTACAAAGGTTACTTGCTTATCCCGCCACCGTCATTTCGAGGCAAACTGTCCAGAAGCCCATTCCTTGATTTTCTTGGTGTGTTCGGTGAGTTTATTATTGTATGTTGTAGCTGCTTTGTTTGCACTGTCGAAGGCTGATTTTACTGATTTGAACTCCTTGTCCCAGTGCTTTTTGGATGTGTTTAGCAAGTCTTTAACCTCATTCACGTCTGACTGAAAAGTAGTCACCTCGGCAGAGTTTGTGTTATGAACCAAGAAGTGGATGTACTCTCCCGCAATAGACTCATGATCTCCAAAGTCTGCATCAACAAACTCTTTGAGGACATCCAGTGTTTTAGGGACATAGAACCAGATGTTTGCGGCTATATCAAGCTTCGAAGTGTCTTCTCCACACACATTAAACCCATCCGCAACACCAGATCGGACTGCAAACAGTTCTCGAAAAACTCTTTCACCAAGTTTTGTGGTGAGGATCCAAGCTTTGTCTTTTGACATCCCGTAAGTCACTAGATTATTATGCGAGTTGTTGAGCCAAGTACAGAATTTTTCCATAGCTGCACAGGACTCGGAGATGGAGAGCTTGCAAACAGTGTGAACCCTGCTCCCTGGCCTTAGGAAGTTGTCAGCGTGTATGTTGAGCTGGGATCTCACCAATGTAATTCCTGTTGGTATTTGTTTCTTTCCTTTATCAACCCAGTCCTTATGAGTAGGAAACTTGCTAAAGGATGACGTATACGGAGAGCTCTGACGATCCCCTGAATCATCGAATAGTTCTGGGATAGGACTATTGAAGCCATGCATCACTATAGCTTCCCGATTAGTCCCAATCCCCAGCTTCTTGATATGATGCAATCGGTCAAAGAACTTCGAGTGACCCCTGTTGTCTTTCATTACATGATAACATACTGCATAAGGGTCGATAACTAAGCCAAAGTTNTCTGCTTCGTATTTCTCTAAATCCTTTTGACCTACAAATGGGTTGATGACAAACAGATTGAGAGTATTGTTGAGGGCGTTTGCGAAGTTCAATTGAAAAAATTCTTTGATAAGAAATTCAACGATGGCTCACAAAAAACTTACAATCAGACTGGAGAGCACTCTCTATRAATGCACTTTCAATTGCTTTCGAATGCTGTTCATCTTCATACTGACGACGCTTTCTTGCTTCTTCACCACGGAGTTGCAAWGACTTTCGTCGTTCTTCAGCAAGCTTAGCAACATAAGTCTTCACATCGTTKTCAGCATCAAATTTAAGCATATAAGATTCGGCTTCCTTTTCTTTCGCTATGTTTCGAAGTTCTTCCATCACATTTGCATGTCGCGCACTTTCCTTRTTGCGCCCGGCTAAACTCTTTCGTCTCTCTTCATGCATTTTCTTTCGATAAGCTTCTGCATCGCGCTCACCCTGCCATTTCAATTCGTAACTCTTGTGCTCAGCCAAATACGCTTGATACCTCTGTTCCTTTTGCCGTTGTCGAAATTTATGAGCATCAAGATTTCTTTGCTTGAAGTCGTCACATTCTGCCTTTTTCATGCGCTTCTTGTAATTTTCGACATCTTTGGCTGCTCCACGGGTAAGTTCGTGCCCGATATGCTGCTCATGAAGCTCCTTTCCTYTCCATACTGACCTCATCTCTCTAATTTTCCTAGCGTCACCAGCGCGAAATTGGAAACTCATTCGTCGCTTCTCTGYGTTCGCTCTCTTTGTTTCCATTCGAGCCCGGTGCAAATCTGCACGAACCTCGTACATGGCTTGGTCCTCTTCGAGCTTCATGGCCTCTAGGAATTCTTTCCCTTCACGCTTATTTCTTCGAATGTTTGCTCGTGCGTCCATCGACATCTTCCTGTTTCTATCCCGATCCTCCTTCAGTTTTTGTTGATGATCTTGGAACACTTCCGATTTGAACATGTATTCTTTTTCGAGTTTGGCTAACCTATCAAATTTTTCTGCTTCGTCCTGTTGTGCTTTCTCTCTGAAATGGGCCGTCGTCAACTTTCTCTGGATTGCTCGAATTTGTCGTCGACTTTCCTCAACCTTTTTTTGAAGGGACTTCGCTTCAGAGTTTTCTCGGTCCCATTGGAAAGTGACAGACTTTGCTTCCTCATTTTTCTTGTTGACAACTTTCTTTCTTGCGTTTCGACCGGCATCTATGGATTTGTACATGGATGACGACGGAAWCAAATTTTGTTTCTTCTTTTTTAATGCTGATCTTTCGATACTTGTTGTCACATCATTAATAGTTGCCTCTGTCATTTTYACTAAATTGCGTCGCAGAGGAGACTTTGTCTTGCTCGCACGAAGACGATTTAGCTCGGCATTGCGAAACGAATTACGAGATGCAGCTTTACTTKCACTAGAAGCGCCCCTACTTAATGAAAGATTTACATTCTCCTTGTCATCCTGTGAAAAAGAAACTCTCTTTTCTGAAGGCGTGTTTGCAGAGGACAGGTGATCCACCGAGGGATCGGGTTGAAATAGGACAGTTGGTGATGGAGTAGATTGTGACGTCAATTCGCTATCCTCTAGTATGCTACTTTTGATCAGGCTGGAATTTCCTTTCGTTTTACCGCCGACGAAGGTTATGGTATTTTCAGCAGGTCCAGGCGATGGTGAGTAACAGAGACTAACGTCCGTTTCATTGAAAACATTATCTCCGAAGACTCGCGTAGCGACTTTTTTGTTTTTTCCGGTTGAAAGTATCGACTTCTATTTTATCAAATCAGCGTCGAATCGGGCAAGAAGCAACATCAGATTTTGTTAGACATATGACACCGAAACTACCGACTCTTTCTAAGTGGGCGCATTCTCAACACAGAAACCTTCATTTTGATGGTCAATATTCCATCACGTACCATATTCCTCTAGCAAYTAATTTCGGCGCTATGCAATTCTCTATTTTCTTCGTTCTAAAAGATCYCTTTCTTCTTTCCCTTTAAAAAAACCAAAAATGGCAATGATGGCTCTACAAGTAGCTTCCTTGGTGCAATCACGCTTATTCAAACAAGWTGCATCGTCTGAATTTCAATGCTTCATCTCACGTCGTGCGAGAGAACAACAGATTGTCCAAGATGGATTTTTTTCTATTTTCTATCCCTGATCGGTATTGTTTGTTCGGAACAAAACTCGGTTTTTATTCGTTCATGAGATCGAGCGAGACGAGCATACAGATTTTGTCAACGGCCACTTTTTAGATCTTTTGACTAAAATGATTAGCGCATGAAGGTACTCATTTTTCTTTCATTGGTGCGACCATGAAATGCTTCTTTGTTCGCGGTTCTCCCTTTTTCTGTTATTGACACGTGTACATAATTAGCCAATGAAAAAGTTGAATAGTGATCGATGGTTTTATTGGTAGTGCATCCGAAGATAGCACTAGCCTGCTGTTCATTTACAGCCTTCGGCAAATGGTTGTGTGTGAAGAAAAAAATAGRAACACATCACGTGATGATGATGTAAGAACGTTTCGTTTTCCSTCACATCCGCCGTCGCACCTCCTTCGAAGATCGACTTGCTYAACGCTATCGATTGAAATCAACAACATCCAATTCTCCTCCGTGATAATTGTCAATTGTTTCCTTTCTTTCAAACCATTGAGTCTGTGTCTTGTCTCGCAGGTAAGGAAACAATCGTGCTGATTGGGCTCGATGCCTGCCATTCCTACCAGGACAGATTCAATCGACGGGACGGCAAACGGCTATTATTTTTTTCTGTTTTTCACGGTGAAGAAATCGAGGGTGGGCCGAGACAGACAGACTAAAATCGCGCGCTAAAAATCGCACCACTGGGAAGCGCGACAACAAATATTTTGCTCTCTGTGCTTTTGTGGTCAGCAGCGCACGAGCTCCTTCTTACCAGATATATTGTTAAACCTTTACTTACACTTCGAGCTATTTCATATTTATTTTCATCAGACGCTCTAGCAGCCAGCACGTGAAACAACCGAAGAGCTTCAAAAGCCAAGCAAACACAAAAAGAGGCACTTCGAATTCAGCTCTGTTTTGCCGTTTGCTCGATTCGAGCACAAAAAATAACTTTCTGGYCGGTAGTGGTTTTTCGCATTAATCCAATAATTTCAAGTCTTTTAGAAGAAGACAAAACCTGCCTGAGTGTGTTGTAAATGCTTTGAGTACTTAGTGCTTATTATTACTGTAAGCAGGAGCTGAAGACTTATCATAACGATGAGTCTAGAGCCAACGCCAGGCCCTGCCACGGCTGCTCCAACTACTGGTCTTCGCGATGACTCAAATGCCAACCAATCAGAAACGGGTGTGATTGGTTCCCTTGGAGATGCTTTTTCCGGAGTAACGCTAGGTTCTTCTACTGGAAACAGTGGCACATTCGTGTCTGGAAATCYTTTCAATGCATCGAGCCATCATCCTACGTCCACTGACAATAACGGATGGGGTGGCTTTTCGAACCGTGAAGCATCTCGCAACAGTTTCGCAAGACCAGGTGCAACAACTAACCAGAAAGGACGTGATGATCAGACATCGGAGCCTCACACACCTGACCATGCAGAGCGAAAGAAAAGCATTGATTTATTCCTTTCTCGGGATCCATCTGAGATGCTTGGAAACGATGTCTTCAAAGAACTCAGCACCGGAAATCTCCCTGGTCTCGCAATTCCCGAAGATACTAATAATCCTTCCACCAACTTCCGTGGGCCAGGAGGTCAAACTTCTGTTCTTCATCCTGGGGTGGCAACGGGTAGCGTTCAATCAGGACATCCCGAGCAACAGCGAATATCTCCATCTTCCAATGTCACAGGAACTACTGCATCGAATACTACAGGTAGTCGCTCGAACTCTCCATATGAGAGCGGAGGCAATTCCCATACTATTCAAGCTTATCAGAGTTACGACCAAAACAAGAACGATGTGTCTGCCCCCTCTCCTTACCAAGCTACACCCACCAGTAATATGAGTCCGCGACCGAGTTCTTCATATAGCAACACCAACAACAGCAACGCGGCTCTTAATCAACATTATAGTTCACCGGCACCAGAGAAACAATCTAATTCGCTACCTCCTCAGCAACCTCAGCAGCAAATTCTCTACATGGCTGTTCCCACCCCGGATGGACGCCAGGTTTTGCAACCTGTTCAAATGGTACAAATGCCTGGAAAGCCTTACGCTTACGTCTTGCCTGGAACTGAAGGAATGCCTGCAATGCAGGGTGCAATACCAGGAATGCAGGCAGGTGCGCAGCCGATGATGGTAATGCCTACAATGGTTCCCCAGCAGACACAAATGGCTTCACCTGTTGGTGTTCCCCCACGGCAGCAACCTGGTTTCCAAGGGCATCAACAAAGTGATGTSATGAACGGACTCATAGGTGGTACCGGAAGCGGTGGACGGAATCACAGCCAACATAACAAGAATATGATTGGTGGAGGATACCAGAGTTCTGTCAACGACATCAGCGGACCTGGGTACGGAAATACTCTATCTGGACTCAGAGCAGATGATTATAACCCCATGCAAGGGCAGGGAAACATTGGGGGTGGTGACCCGCATTACCTGAATCAACCCACAGATCCTGAGCTCGCCTCGTTGTACTCTACTCCACAAAGGCCACCTCTCGATGCCTTGCTTGGGCAAGTTCGGAAGCTTTCCCGTGATCAGGTTGGATGTCGCCTCGTCCAGCAAGCCCTGGATGAAGAAGGTCCAATGGCTGCGACGCTTATCCTCAACGAAGGTCTTCCCTTTTGGGGAGAAGCCATGGTAGATCCATTTGGAAATTATCTCTTCCAGAAGATTTTGGAGAAGATTACAGCAGAAGAACGCATTATGCTTGTCAAAAGTGTGAGCACACGGCTAGTGAACGCTAGTTTGAATCTCCACGGAACCCGAAGTGTACAAAAGATAGTTGAACTCTGCACAATGGACGAGAAAAATTCGAGACCCCCCAACAGTGAAAACGACGGAGATGCAAAGGAAGAAACGGCTGCTGACGTCCTCACCAAGGCACTAACACCCGCTGCGGCTCGGCTCTGCATTGATAGTCACGGAAATCACGTCATTCAGCGCATTCTGCTCAAGTTAGGCCACAAACACTCCAAATTTGTATTTGATGCTGTGGCAGAGAGTGTAGGGGACGTCGCACGTCACCGTCATGGCTGTTGTGTCATTCAACGCTGTCTCGATTCTCCGCCTGGACCAGCCCGCTCCAACTTGGTTTGTCGCATTGTCGACAAATCCTTGGAACTAATGCAAGACGCATACGGAAATTACGTTGTTCAATATGTTCTCGATGTATGCTCTGACGATGATGTACATGCTGTGTGCGAAAGCGTTATTGGAAAAGTGAACCTGTTGGCCATTCAAAAATTTAGTTCAAATGTGATGGAAAAGTGCTTGGAACGCTGCACCGATAGAGTGAAAGAGCACTACATGCAAGAACTTAGTGATCCAGAACGTATTCGAGAACTCATGATGGACCCKTTTGGAAACTACGTGGTACAGCGTGCTCTCTCCGTGGCAACACATACCCAGGCTGTGCGTTTGGTTGAAGCAATGAGACCCCATCTTATCGCTCAAACTCCTGGAACCCCAAATGGGCAGCGCAATGGTGGCGTCCGGAATACTGCTGGTGGGAGACGAATTATGGCCAAGATATGCCGCCGATTCCCAAATTTTAATCTCAACTCCACTGGAACGAGAGAAGAACTCTATAGCCAAAACAGAGGACGCCATCATCATAATAATCACCATCATCAAGCCACTGCTGCTGTGCCGCCTATGTATGGTGCAGTGCCTCAACTCGCCCCAGGCCCGATCCATGTTCTACAACAACAACAACCTCAACAGCAGCAGCAACAGCAGCAGCAGCTGTACACATCGAATCTCACAGATTACAACACGGCTCAGCTCGGGATCAATCCTGTAAACATKGGAGGCCTTCAATTCGACCAACGCCAGACGTATTATGATCCCAGTGCCGATGCAAGCTACTTTCAACAGCAGCAGCAACAACAAACCCCTCACTTTGGGCAAGGCGCTTACCAAAGCGGCTTGTGAGCCGAATGCACTAGTTTGGAACAAGCTACAACCAACACGTAACAAGTGCATGAGAAGGATTCGCAAAAGGTCACTGCGAAACAAGAAAAGTGTATGATACATTTAGACCTGTACCTTTTATATGCTAAGCTCGGACTGGTATTTCGCTTCGAAAGGTGYGAGACCAAGCCTGTTAAAATGGACATTGTGCAAATAAAACAAGAAAGAAAGATGAAAAAATATGAAATAGATAACTGACAAACTGCAGCCTGTTTCGCTGCAAATGCATACACCGTTAGACAATAGGAATACCATAGTGTAACAAAAAATAAAAAATGTAAACGTTTATCCACGAAAAATTATTTCTCGAATTTAAATCGAACATRTTATCACGATCTACTAATTTCGATGTGAACCACTCTGATCTGATGCTTGTACGGTGCGAGGATCAGCTCACAACAGAACACTTCTTTCATCATGAAGGCAGATATCTTTTTCAGTTATCATTCCAATAGKGAGAAATAGTGTCGATGTCTAATTCGTTTTCCTTAAATTTTTTTTTATCAAATTGGACCAATTGCGTAGCGCTCCTCACCCCATGGTTGATCATCCGTGTTTAACCAATCCTTCATCTTTACCAGCACTTCCACTCCATCGTTGTTATCTACGTCCTCCGCAATAGCATTTCCTTGAGTTTTGCTTGAACCGCCAGCATTTGCATCATAGTCTTCCTTGAGAGCAYCGAAGCAAATTTCTTCGATACGACGGCTYAACTTGCTCTTATCGATAGGTGGCGGCAATAAATCCAATAAGCGTTCCTTTGGTTTACGTGATATTGTCGACCTACTACCCGCCCTGAAATACGTGCTGGGTGCAATGTTTGGATCAGTTGGTAAAGGAACGCGATCTATGCAAAGACGACCTCCTCGCCCAAGCCTGGGGCGGTGGCGAAAGTATGATGTATTCATGGCATGACCATCAACGATGGTAGCTACGTGTGGTACCGAACCTTCCCATGTTGTAGCGTAAGATTCTCGYGATGCAAGAGGTTGCAAAAAGGACGGAGCTGGCTCTCCATTGTTCTGTCCCGCAATGATCAATGGTAGCTTTCGCTGCTTGGTTTCRGAACCAGAAGGATCTCCATCGGTTACGGTAGCGCCACTAGAATGGCCCTGATCTTGATTTGTCCTAGATACCATGTCCATGTTTGTCCCCGACGAAAAAGTTGGATTGGGGACGGGAGTTGTGCTTCGTGATCCAGCAGCGCTAGTTAAACCATCCTGTTGTTGACCAGCTGACCGGCGTGATTTCTTCCGTCCTCTACCAATCCCGCCCTCGTTTATGTCAAATTGCTTTTCTATCTCTAGCAATTTGTCTAAAGAATTTCGGTCCAGTGCTTGCGAAACTCTGCAAAGCCCACTGGTATCGATTGCATCGTACAGCTTTTGCTCGAACCATTCCTTTTGTAACAAGACGCGCGATCGAGCGAGTTCTTCTCGTTTTTTAATCAACCCCAGCAAGAGCCGAATMTGAGAAAAATCTTGTTTCAATTGCTGAAGCTTACGATATGCGTCCATGTCGTTTTGTCGTTTTTTCCGGAGCTTGTATTTCTCTTTTTCACGCGGCCGAAAGACCAAATGAGGGTTTGAATCTTCCGTCGACGTGACGGGCCAAAATCGTCGAAGCAATGGACGCTTTAGCTTACTCCGCTTCGAAACCCAATACTGGTAGACATCATTGATGACATGTCGTATTGTTACAACACCAGCCTTAGCCCTTACGGGATACATATGAAGAAATTGGGGCAACTTTTCGAGAATAAGTTTTTCGGCCTGGTCGAGGGTGATAATCGCATCGAAGGCTGTAGCTTTTTCCATAACGTCCAACATGACTTCTAACATAGCAACTGTGAGAACAGAAGTTCGAGGTGTCATTTTCGTTGCTACTTTTCGTTTCGTTGAATCCTTCTTTGGATTTCCCCCTTGTGTCTGTGTTGTACAAGATTGGTTCTTTTCGTCGATAACTCCTGATGGCATTGACTGCCCTTCGGGATCCTCATCCAKTACGGATACAGCTTTACATGGATCTTCTTCCACCACAACCGACGCACTACCAAATCTAGTATTATTCCTCAACCATGCCTCGTCTTCAGTGTCGATGACATATTCCAAGGATTCTCTCAACTCTTCGTGGGAAAGTCGTGTGTATCTCACGTACGATGCTTTACACTCGTAGTTGGGAGGAATATCAAGCTCATATGTCTCATTTGATTTAATYTTTGGGACGGGAATCTCATCCTTTGGCTTCGSTTTATGGAGAGGTGTCTATATTCGTTTGTTTGAGTACGAAAYATTCAACAAAAGTTCAAGGTTTAGGCATTCGGTCACACAATACCTGTCGAGGGAAAGCAAAAAACACATTCTTTGATATCTGAATTAATCCATAACGCCGTTGCTGCTGATATTACGAACATTGGATACTCTAAGTCGTCAAGTGCTCTACTCACYGTGGCTACGGCTGCCAGGTGAAGATCGGTAACCGACTTGAAATTTCCCGCGCTGTCTTCGTATGTTAACACATCCTCCGAACCTCGAATAATGGCAACCTTTTTGTAAACGTTCAAGGTAGCCGGTGYCGACAACGACGATTGTTTTTTCGTAGCACCAGGTGCCATTTCTCKGTATTAAAATGTTTGGTATCGGATGTAGGTGACAAATCGGTTACTGCAGCTGAGATACCAGACCGATACTTTATGGTTGCGCACCAGGAGCTTGCTCTAGCTCTCCTTTTTGTTGTTGGATTGCGGTTTCTGTTTCGTTTGCGTTCTTGTCCTCAGTTTGGCTTGTCGATGCAAGCGACGGTGACCACTTTTGTTGTGTTTTATATCTGTCCTTTTTATCTATTGAATGGCATCGTCGTTATTCCAACATTTRCCCAACAATACATGAGGCTTTGATTGCTACGAGTACGTACTGACCTGCTTTATCGAATTGCATATGTTGTTCTTCTTCTTGTTTCTACTGTTACTTTTATTTACTTCCACTGAAATTGGGGGTACGATACCGGCCGGTACGGGACGTATTCAATTGGAAATTGAAATTGGAGTGAAACRAGTCTCGCCCTCATTTGCCCTCGTTCCTCGTAGCCTGAACCGTAATCTAGCTTCTAGCCCCAGTTGTTGCTGTCCTGTGTCCTGTWGGTACTTTAACCTACGGAACCATTACGTACGGTACGTACGGTGACGAACTCCTACCGTACATATTACGAGTACATACGGCTGTGTCTACATCACAAGTACCTGCGTACGACGTACGTACATACGTACTCTAGTGGAGGGGTATGAGGCCTGCTCTACTGTAGAGTCGTACGACGGAAGGTCAGAGCTTTTCGCGCCCATTTCCCTTGACAACAAACACGAGTAAGATTTTGCGTGAATTTTTGAGTTGATTCTTTCCATGATTTTTTTGAGATCTTTTCGAGATTCCCTTTCTGTATTCCAACGKATCCGCAGTGTGCATCACCGACGATACAGCGGGTAACACGAATTCAATTWCAATCGTTACAKTTCGAMCGAACATTTTTACAGTAGAAGCTAACTAGCTAGTARMAATACGCTTGATCGAATATGATGCGGTCAGGATTCCAAGAATTGTTTCTAACGCGATATAGCGTCCTGTCATTCCCCMATGAATGCATTCTATCGAACAGACATACTTTTCCAGAGTATTCTAATACTCTCCCTCAACAGCGACGTTCCAAACACAGGTATCATTGTGATATAAATAATGACCGTTGCTTCTCTTTGGAAGGCTCTACAGCGAGCCGGTTGTGGAAAGAGGGTCGGAGCAAAGGAACTCCAGGATCACCACCATGAAAAGGCAAAGACGAATCYATGGAATGTCAACGAGTTGAAAAAACTCTCCTCACCTCTCGAAAACGGGCCAGTTCTTGCTGTTGACCTTTCCATTTGGATTTGTGAGGCTCTTACATCTTCAGCGATGCAACATAACCATGTCACCGACCCAGCTCTGCAACTTGTCTACAGCCGGACCCTAAAACTGCTCAATTTGGGCATCGGGCTTGTCATTGTCATAGAGGGAAAGCGAAGGATTCGAAACCTTGGAAGATCAAGAACAAGTGCCACCGATAAAGAYAATGTTAAGAACGATGGAGAAGATAAGTTCCGAAAACGCCGCAGTGGTGCCCGGTTTTGGACAGCATGCCAGCGGTGCGAGGAAATGCTCAAGCTCCTTGGGACTCCCGTCGTGCGTGCAAATGCGGAAGGGGAGGCCCTCTGTGCTCTACTGAACAAAAAAGGGATTGTTGACGGGGTCATTTCCAACGATGGTGACTGCCTATTGTTTGGTGCAAAAGTTCTGTACACYAAATTTTCTGTGGAGAACCTCGACCAATCCAATATCATCCGGTACGAYGCAAACAATATTCAAGCTGTAGTTGACGATGACGACACGGATAAGTATGATAGCACCAGARAAAAATCGAAAGACGGCAAAGACGTTGTCAAACTATCTCGGAGCGACTTAATTGCTTTTGCGATCCTAACTGGTAGTGATCTGGCCGGAGGTGGTCTTTYAAAAATTGGCTGCCGGAAAGCCATTCGGTTCATTCGAAAGTGTCAAATCGACAATCCACTGAAAGAAGAYACTAACTCTTCCCCAGTACTTAAACTTTTGCTTTCCTGGGAGCAGAATGCGATTGGCGCGTCTGAGGATGATAATRAAAAGGAAATCTCAGGACCTCACTGCAGCTGTTGCGGGCATCCCGGTACAAAGAAGAGTCACAAAAGATATGGCTGCAAGGGCTGCGGTACAAAGCCAGGAGAGCTATGCTTCAAAATTTCATCTGGCGATCGTTTTCGCAAATCGCTTCGATCCAGGGCACTCGAGATGCGACCGGACTTTCATCCCTCCTCGACAATACGCGCCTATCACGAACCAAATGAAAATCAGATTCCTCTTTGTCTGATCGGCAAAACAGCTCGCACTGTGAAAATGAAAGTTCCTCAGCTYGAAAAGATGCTGCAGTCGTCCTTCATTGTCAGAGGTCGCAGTCACGAAGAAAACCAAGAGTATATTAGGAAGTCTTTGTCAACATACCTTGCAAGACAAGAACTATTTGGACAGATGATGTCGAAGTCTGCTTCGRAGGAAGACAGAATAATTAAATTGCCCACAAACTCCAACCGCCCAGTTCCCATAGGTATCAATAAGCTCCTAGTCCGAGCTGGAAAACCTTCGTGTGAGGTAAAATGGGTCGTGAAAGCAACGACAAGTGATGTGGAAGGAAATCCTTTGGACCGATACGAGTTTTCTACAATCGAAGACAAAGGTGCAATCCAGAAGTGCTACCCAAAATTGATTCGCGTTTTCGAAGAGGAGCAGAAAGCACTTCAACAGCAGGGAGCAGCCGAACAGGAGAAACGGCGGGCCTTCCTTCTGAACATGGAGGAAGCAATGGCTCACCGATGCGTCGGTCCTCTTTTAGAAACAAGCAAGAAAGACAGAGCCCGTCAGGAYTGTTTCGATAAATATCAATGCGTCGTGAACAATRCTTGCAATACAAAATCGAAAGGCGTTAGTGATGACGTGAAAGCTATCCTTGTCCAGATAAAGAACAACAAGCAGCYTCGAAAAGAAGAAAACKCTGGAAATAGAAAATATGACTTGCATATTGGCAAAATAATTGCTACAAATGCTGATGGAGGTTTTAAAGAACTGAAACCCCATCAACGAGGATTAAGACGTGGCGTCCGTGATGCAATAGCAATGAACGGGACCACAGACGAAWACGAAGAATGCATGGATTGTGATTCCAGTACAATTATGACAATCAATCTTACTGAATACGACATCGGCAAWAAGCCCAAAACATTCAGAGACAACGATATRCCTGWCCACTGTTGCAATGCTCTGACACCTGGGCATCTGCATTATTTGGGCGTTCGATCTACCAAATTTCGTTATATGACTGGCAGTGAACATCACTTCAAAAACGAAACCCAGAAGCTAAGCAAGTCGTCGACTTTGCCAATATTTTTGGATGCGGTCGAYCAAACGAGCAAGCACCCCGYATCGAAGGAGACACGTCCAGGAAAGAAAAACGCGGTAGCTACACATCGAAATTTTGCACCCACAAGTGTTGCAGATATCCCTCGCAGCTACAGCAAAGATGCGATTCGTGCAGAATATCACTGCTCTGATCGTACGAACAAAAGGAAAGAGATAAGCCATGAGAAACGCTCCATCTCCACAGAATCAGAGATAGAAAAATCGCGATTGAAGGTGCACCAAGATAGCACCGTGCACGAGCAGAAAAGAAGTCTATCAAGGAGTCCCCAACTCAAGCGTGCCAAGGKAACGCTAGACCAGAATGAGGGTATTGATGACGCGCTTTATCGCCCGAGTCAAGAGAGGCAAAGAAGTCTATCATGGAGTCTCCCACTCAAGCGTCCCAAGACAATGCTAGACCAAAATGAGTGCATTGGTGGCGAGGTTAGCCGCCTGGATCACCGCGCGGAAAATGGGATTTTGAACAGTTACAGACATTCCGAAGAGGRCGACMGGCTGTTCAGAATCGAGGTCTTGAAAACGAAAATTAAGCTTCTGGAGCTAGAACACGATGAGCTCGAAGAGCGAAAAAAACGCACGTGGCCGAGGTCGGAAGCCTTGCGGGTAGTTGGTGATGATAATGGGACTGACCATTTTGAAATTCCTAGTATCCTTCCTGTAAGACACGGGAAAGAGGAATGTCATCGCCAAAGACCCGGCCTTCGGAGAATCTTSGTAGACGAGCGCAGACGCCAAGGCAGCTCCTCTATTGCCCCAGCGCCTTTGCTCGACAAAAGCAGCGAATGGTTYCCCCAAAGGCCGGAGGCGCTAGACCTAGATGGAKGCCAAGAGTTCGAGTGGTGCRGAGGCCTCCGTAAAAGCCACGGATGGCACGTCTACGATTCGCACGAATACACCGAACGCCAGGCCCGCGACGATCAATTGCATTGCCTTCSTGCCATTGACGAGAGAGACGACTTCCGCTTCGGGCATGCAACGAACGAGGATTGCAATCCAAACCCCGAACCAATCGGACGGCCGGCATTCCACACCAATCGCAAAGGATCCCTGTTTGACAGCCATTGCTGCGTTCGCGATCGAACCGGCAGCAGGGGAGGAGACGGCCCCCATCGCGGCACAAGACGCACGGGCACGGAGAAGGCCTCGCCCCACCGCGTCCCTTGCCCGAGGGCCACCAACCCCCGCGCCCGAGAGTTTGAGGTCGAGCTCGAGCTCGAGCTCGAGGAGCGCGTTGCCTCCAAGCTCGAGTCGCGCACCCGGCGAGCCAAGCTGGGCCTCCTCTGCTCGGAAGGCTTGTGCCTCGCCGGGGGGGAAGGCGACGCGGCCACGGCCCGCGTGGGCTGGTACTCGTAGGTAATGCGTGCCGAAGCTAGAAGCGAGTAGTGCGAAAGCAAGAAGCTAGCTAGCTAGCTGCTTGCACCCGCAGTGGTACGGTACGTACTAGTGGTGATAGCAGTGCCATCGCTGGCAGCGGGGGCTGTGGTCCCTAGCGCATCCCGCCCCGGCCGACAATGCTACTGCTACTGCTAAAACTAGTACTACTATTTGTACTTGTAGTAGTACGAGGAATTCTAACACCACAAGCAGGGTCCTTGCCTCGCTCGCTCTTGATGCGTCCGCACTCGCTTCTAGCAACTACTACTAGTAGTACTCTAAATGCAATCCAATGGTTCGCAATACTACTAGTAGAAGAAGTAGCTACTACTATAAACATCCATAACACCGTAATACCACTAGAAGCATAAAATAATATTGTCACTACCATAATACTATTAGTAGTAGTACTATTAGTACTACTCATGCGACGTACTACTAGTAGTACTATCCATCTACAATCGTGAGATCCAGCAGCAGCAACAACAACAACAACAACAACAACAACAACAACAACAAGAACAAGAACAAGAGTGAATTCAATCGAGCGATTAGAAAATGGAACTTTTTAGAAAAAGAACCGTGCTATTTTAGTCCCTCAAACGTTGGTGTTTTTTTCTTCGACCCTCTTTGGTGGGTCCCGCCCCCCCTTTCAAAAAAACAGGTGGCGGGCCGAGACACTTCCACGCCCTGCCGTTCCTTCCTCGGTGGGGGTGTTGTTTGGTTTTGTTTTGTTTTGTTTTGTTTTGGGCCGGTGGTTGTTTTTCGATTGGCTGGCCTGGTGGAAAGGAAGAACGCCCCCAGGTGACGTAGCGCAGTACGAGTACGCATCGCCGAAGAACCAGACACCACATACCGGTAGTACCCGGACCGCTGTGTCAGTACGCTACGGTAGGTTACCGTACGAGCGTAGGTACTCTACGCTTCGGGTACTACTCGTTGTGCTACTCGTATCGTCGTACCCGTAAGGTACCCTAGGCTCCACGAGATACCACCGTAGATCGAAAACTTCCCGGGGATTTGTTTTGTTTTGTTTTGGGCCGGTGGTTGTTTTTCGATTGGCTGGCCTGGTGGAAAGGAAGAACCCCCCCAGGTGACGTAGCGCAGTACGCACTCGTTGTGCTACTCGTATCGTCGTACCCGTAAGGTACCCTAGGCTCCACGAGATACCACCGTAGATCGAAAACTTCCCGGGGACTCTCTCCTTTGCGTTGGTTTTGGTTGGTTGGTTGTTTGGTTGATGTGGAAGGGAACAACTCAGCAGCCGGAGTTTCGGGAGGGCCTTCTGTTTCCGGCACATCGTATCGACTCCGCTGGAGCATCGCATCTGCTGAGCCAGTACGTACGAGCCAGTAGMTACAAGCACTCGTCCGTGACCGCCCACCATCGGCAGCACGATCGAATAGTAGTAGGCTTTCGCAACAACCAAGTGTGGGACTGTTTCTCGTATGGTACGAGTAACAGTACTGAACTCGTAGTTTCAGTTTCTTCGTTCTGTCTCAGCTCCGCTTCCATCATCACCATCGAAGATGCCCATCAGCAAAGCGACGTGATTTCTTTCTCCACGCAGGGCTGGTCGTCACTTTCGAATCCGAGAGAAACCCCAAAGAACGGTACAGTACTCCTGACACCCAGACTTCTTACAATACGATCGAGGCAAAACAACCAACCCAAAGACTCCTTCTCGATCCCATCCCATTGCATCGAACAAAGCCGGCAACATGGACCAACAGCAACAACAATCGCAACCACAACCACGCCCGGCCCACGGCCTCTCCAGGCACGCACGGCTCGCCGCGGCGATGTTCCTGGCCCACGGCCTGTTTTCCGGCAGCGGTGGCCCYCCCTGCGCCACCGCCCTGTCCCCGTCCGCACCGGCGCCGGCGATGGGCACGCGGCTCTTTGCCACGGCCCGCCAGCGGTCTCCCTCCTCGGGGATCGCGAGGGCCCGGCGGAGGAGGCCCGGGGTGCCACAGAGGACCGTCGGGGAAGACGACGACGCCCACGACGCCGATCGGTTCTACTACCACAACCAACAACAACAACAACGGAGGGAAGAAGACCGCTACAAGTACAAGTACAGCTATAATTACAACTACGAGGAGGACGAAGACGAGGACGACGGGGTCCTCTCGTTCGAGGTGGATTCCTTCCAGGAACTCCAGCGCTCCACCGGGTACGAGGTCCTCGACGACGAGCTGCAGAGCCAGATCGACGAGGCTTCTCCCACCCCGAACACCTTTCTGGACGCCCACGTGACGGATGCCTCCTTTCTGGAAAAGGTGGCCATGAGCAGCGTCCCCGAGCAGCTGCCCCAGCCGGCCGTCCACGCCTTTCGGCAACAACAGCAGCAGCAAAAGCAGCAGCAGCAGCAAAAGCAAAAGCAACGAAGGCAGACCAAGAAGCGAGCGGGCGGCCAGCGTAGCGACCTCGAGTTTTCTTCGGCCCGGTCCGTCAGCCCGGAGGAGGAGATCGAGCTCGCCAAGATGATCCAGCGCGGGGTCTGGCTGCACAAGCTCAAGACGGACAAGGAGGCTTCCGACGGACGGTCCCTCAGCAAGAGCGAGTGGGCGAAGCTGGCGAACCTCGAGACGCCGACCATGCTGCGGCGGGAGGTCGCCACCTACCGCCGGGCCAAGCAGCTGCTGGTCTCGGCCAACATGGGCCTGGTGCACACGGTCGTCAAGAAGAACTACTACGACGTCCGCAAGCGCTCCGGGGTGACCTACGAGGAGCTGGTCCAGGAGGGCTCCCTGGGCCTGCTCCGGGCGGCCGAGCTCTTTGACCCGTCCCGGGGGATCCGCTTCAGCACCTACGCGACCATCTGGATCAAGGGACACCTCAGCAACTCGCACGCCCTGGACGGGGCCATCAAGCTCCCGGCGGYCGAGAAGCAAAAGTGGAAGAAGATCACCAAGGCCCACCGCGAGCTGGTCCGGGAAAAGGGGGGGACCCCTGGCGAAACCTCCGACCTGGCGGCCTCCCCCGTCTCGGTCGAGGAACTCGCCAGCCGCCTCGACATGARGGTCGAGGACGTCCTGGTCTCCCAGCGCAAGATGAAGCAGGCCCGGTCCGTCCTCAGCCTCGACTACGAGTACCAGCAGCAGTCCCGGAGCGGGACGGAGGGGGGCCCCTCGGTTTCGGTCGAGGAACAGAGGAGCCTCCGGGCCGACGCCGACCTGGCCGAGCGGGCCCAGATGCAGGCGGACGTCATTGCCTCCATGGCCCGGAACCTGACGCCCCGGGAGGCCCGCCTCATGCGCCTCCGGTACGGCCTCACCACGGACGGGAAGACCCGGACCATCAAGGAGTGCGCCGACGCCATGGGGGTCAGCCAGGCCCGGGCCTCCCAGCTGGCCAAGGCCTGCCTGGCCAAGCTCCGGGAGGCCGCCGAGGCCGACAGCCTGGAGGAGTACCTGCTGACCATTGCCTAGCGCGGCGGAGCGAAGGAAAGCAAAGCCGAGCGAAGCCAATCACCATCGTTCTGTGCCGTGCTGTCCTGTGCTGTACACTACAATTCCACCAAACCATACCATACTATACTACTACTATAAACTAAWCTCACCACTGCGAAAACACTAGCGTTACACACAAAAGACTATAGCGGAAAATTAGGTAGCTAGCCGAAGACCACCGAATGCCTGCACTCCACCGCGGTGTTGCGTTCCGGAACGCCGCTGCCTTCCGCCACAAGGCACCGCATCGTACCAGCGGCTGCCTGCCTGCCTGCCTGCCTTGCCTACAGGATGAAAATGTCCTTCAGGGCGCGCTGCGGGTTCCCGCCGCTGTCCCACAGATCGAGGGGCTCCCCGCCGCCGCCGGACTGCTCCTTGACGTCGTTCAGGAGCTTGTGGTCGACGCCGATGCTCCCGTCCGATTCCCGGAAGAGCATGTTGCAAAAGGCGTAGCCGACGCCGACGTCCATAAAGTTGTACGCCTTTTGGCTGTAGACGGAATTGGCGTCCACGTTGGAGGTCCCCGAAAARCTCACCAGGATCTGGGAAAAGTGGATGCTGGACCGGACCCCAATGGCGCTGTTCAGCTCCTCCGGCCAGTGGCCCTTGTTGACGCGGATCAGCTCCTTGGCCTCCGCCTTGAGGATCGGCGAMGACTCGTCCAGGACGTGCCGGACGTTCCACACCCGGTTGAAAAACGGGTGCTCCATCGTCTCGACCATCAGCTTGGCAAAGACCTGGTTGGGAAAGGGCATGTTGGAATCCCCCCCCCTTTCGACCGACGACCCTTTGTCGTCCCTCGCGGACGTCTCGATGTACGACGAGACCATTTCCTCCGCCGCCTCCCTCGCGCGCTCGACGACCTCGTCGGTGATGGCGTCCTCCTCCTCGACCGTCCCGTMGTCCTTCACCACGAACTTCTTCTTCTTTCTTCTCTGGGCGTTCTGCTTGCCCCGTCCGCGCTTGTGCCGCCGCCTCTTGTTCGCTCCCATCCCCGATCCGTTCTGGATCGAGGCCTGGCTCTCTTCCATGCTCGCCACGATGTTGATGCAGGCGTCGATGATCTCTCCCCCCCTCCGGTTGTGGAGGCGGTTGGCGATCCGAAACTCGAGGATCGGGCAGGGCAGCTTGCTCGCCTTGTACAAGGCGAGCCKGTTGAAGAGATCGGGGTCGTCGTCGTCGGAAGAAGATCCGTACTCGTCGTCGTCTTCCACCACGCCCGTGACCCCCGTCCCGTACTTGATGATGATGGCGTCGGAGAAGGAAACCTGGGCGAAGGAACCCACCCGGGTGACCTTGGCAAAGACGATGGCACCCCAGAGCGCGGAGAACAGGATTCCGCAAAAGGCCTCCATGGTCGTGAGGATGACCATTCCGGTGCATTCCTTCGCAACGTTGAAACCGCTGGGCAGGGTTGCCGACGTTGCCGGATACACCAATCCATACCCCACGGTAGTGAACGTAGTCCAGGATAGAGCAAAGGCATCTATGAACTGGGTTCTCGTCTCTCCGAAATCGACGCCGTTGACGTGTATGCACTGGGGATTTTCGACTCCAATCAGGTACAMGAACACGGCAAAAAACACCGTGGCAACGTAAAACGAGAGCGCCGCGAGCAGAAACACAAAAAAGATGTTTCTGCGGAAGGTAAAGTGCAAYAATCGCACTATCAAACCGGTGGATTTGCTTGCGTTGCGCCGGGATATGGTAGTAATGAGGAACTCCCCGACAAAAATTCTTGCCATCCTCAGCCATTTTCGGAACCTCGCAACGGCTTTCCCCAATCTCGTTTTGGGACTGTTTTCGYKAGCCTGGTGGTTTGGATCGTGTATGCTATCGATAAGGTTGCTGGGAATGTTGAACCTGCTATCGATGCTCTSTCTGTACCGCCGCCGCMGCAGCTCCGTCTGCGAGATTGCCGMCAATCGGTATTGCACATCRCGTTTTKGAAGCAAGYGCTTTCTATCGAAATACCTTACGCTCTTTTGCTGTACAKTGTAGCGATTGCGTCTATTTCGGTCGGTTTCTYTCAMGCTTTCCGCTTGGCTTGCAACGGRCGMTTKGYTTACTTTCCGTTTGCGGTGTTGTTTCAGCCTGGCTGCGGCTTCCCCTTCGATGTCGTAAAACTCATCGTCGCTATCGCTATCGCCTTTGACAGCGGCGCCGGCCTCTTTTTTCTGTGCTTCGCCCGTGASTTTTCCAGGTGGCAGGGCCAGCAATTTTTTWATTTTTTTCGCCTCAATCCGAAAMGACTCCATGTTTTGGGACAGTTGTCGCATCCGCCGGACCCTCGGCGACTGGGCGGTCATCATGTCGACGCTACAGCTGCGCTTCAAGACGCTCTGGCCGCGGTGGAACTGCGAGTTTCGCCCGGGTGACCGTCCGGTTTCCATGTCCACCGTCAACGACACCCGTCGGTTCGAATCCAGAGACATGAGGTTGCGTGGACGCGGCATATCCGGAGGTGTGCCGTCGTCCAGTGTATCATCGTCGTCGTCGAAATCACTTCCCGAAGAACTTATRGACGAGCGAAAACTGACGCTGGGCCTTTGMTTGCGTCTCTTTYCGATATAATCATCCATATTATCGATAATATCATGACCGCTATGTGTTCCAGTCGACAACTTGGGAATAGACAGCGTGGAAAGGCCATTTTGCTCCTGTTCTTTTTGTAAGTTGAAGAGGTCTGGCGTCGAGAGAACCGGACCTAYAGTGGGTCCAAGCGGTGGTGTCTGAAACAAATTTGCCAGGGGAACGGTACTGRCAGGCCCTTTCTGAACGTTGTTCCTCGGAAGTGTGTCTGCGTTGTTCCAGTCGTTGTTGCTGCTTTGTTTCTCGTCTTTGATAAACTGTAACTTCTGAGGGGGTCGACCTGCATTAAATCGTTGTTKTATCAGCTGGTGTCGGTCTGGAGAGTTGCTGACGTTGAGGAAGTGACCGAACTCGTTGTCCTCGTCGTTGTATGGAACCAATTTGGGCTTTCCTTCCGAATCGTCCTTTGGGATCGATTTCCTACTGCTGTTGGATAAGATTGGAGTTGGCAAAGTATGGGAGCTATGAGCAGGAGGATAGGTACCTGGAACTTCGGTGATTTCATTGTATTCATGAAGCGCAGACAGAGATTCCGACCTCGCCATGGCGGTTGGTGTTTTCATCGTTATCGAAGCCATAGGCGTCGGAGCAATCGGTGTCGAAGCCATCGGTGTTGAAGCCATCGGTGTCGAAGCCATTTTTGTGGGAGACATCGCTGTCGGAGACAATGTAGTCGCTTCATGCTCGATGGAAGCTTTGTTCCCCGAATCCATCTTGCCAGTGTCCTCTGACCCGGCGTCTGTATTGGAATTCGTCGTCATCTTGATTTAAAAGACCAAAACAAATCTTTCTTCACTGTATCGATCGCAAGAAMAAAATTCGGTTCAGCGCAGCAATTGCTCTCCTGCGAACGTTTTCCGAACCAAGAATCAGACACAGTGTTTCTATGAGTTGCTGTACTATTTCATAATGGTACGGTAGTGTGTTGARTATTGATGTTGTAGCAACAGGAAGGGCTAGTCAAATATACTGCTATATTAAAAAAATGTCCTTGAATTTATTCCGAGGAGAAATATTTTCATGGAACTGACGAGCGGTGTTCATCAGGCTGTGTTTTCATCATAGACCGTAACGGGTACGAGTATTTGAGGTGCGATGCTGTTGTCTGTTTGGTGGACAATATTCCATCGTATACTCGTACTTGACATCGTACGGTACTAAACAAAAATATCATACTGTACAGTACAGTACCAAGTAGAAGTATTGTACAACGGAAAGAAATCGAAAAGAGAGTCATAAACATTACTTAAGCTCATTGAGTCGAAGTATTGCATGTATTCTTACCGTAATAAGTACTTCTACAATTTAAGTACCGTATCGCATGTCGGACAAGAAATATGCGCTCTATGACCACTGGAAGATGGGTCTGCGCCCGGCCCGGTGGTGTGACGACCTTCGATGCCTTTTAATGTTTACTGTACTGTAGCATCGAACCGTTTCGTTCTGTACGTATGTACGGTAGGTACGGTTTTCAGAATTTTTCTGAATCTCTGTTCCATCCAACTGACATTTCTTCTGACTTGTGACAAGTTACGTACTTAGCGTTAGCGTATCGTACGAGTACGTACGTACGTACCATACGGCACTTCCGTACGGTACTCATCAACGATGATTTCATACATGATCAGATTTTGATTCTTTTCATAGTTACTTGTACTCCGTAATCGGCTCTGTAGGGAACTAGAGAGACGAAAAGAGACCAATGCATGAATCAAATTCTCTCGTAATTATGTTCGTAGTGCAATAATTGGAGGCGGGGCGAAGAAATTTTCAATATAAAGGACTTTAGATTGCTGATGGTTGGTTGTGGTGTAATATCTGGAATCGCTGGAATCAGTCAGACTTAGTCTTCATGGAGAAGGTCCCCCAAAAATGCGAAACATTGTGYGTATGGGATGGAAAGAAGTTGTGGACCATTTCGTTTGTAGAATAAAAACCATACATGCAAAGCAAAGCAAAAAGTATGCGCGTCTAATTTCCATCTTGGAGTTTCGTGTAGGGATGAGGCACAACCAGTTGTTTTGGTCTTTCAGGTCGATTRAGTTATGATAGCACTTCGTTCAATCTTGCCTCAWTGGGTTGAGAATCATGACTTTACCATGGTAATTGCAGTATGATGATCATAATGAAATTAAGCGAGCGATAGATACACTTCGTATACATTCGTAATCTGATAAGTATCAAAAGCAAATCACTGCGGTCGCTTCTTACAAAAGTTCATGTGCTGCAATTTTGCCCGTTCCTCTCTAAAGGGTTTGGAACAGAAATCGCACGAAAATGTTTCAATTCCTTCCTTGGGAACAAAGTCTTCGAAGTGTTGGGACAGATTTTTCCCAACGAGTTTTAGGCCACATATATGGCATTCGTCGTATTTRTTGTCGATTCCTTCCTCATTTGAAGAATCAGCTTTGCCCTTCAATAAACCACTATCTAATGTGTCGATTTCCTTCTGCTTTGCAATCGCCCAATCTGGTGCAATATAGGTATTGATAGCTGAGTGTTTGGCTCGTACGTGGTCTTCTAATGCCTTGGTGCTT